ATACACAACAAGATTAGTGCACAGCAAACAACACTGCTGGCTTTTGTACCCTTCCCTAGTGTCTAGAACTGTGTGATGTATCAGCGAATGATGCATGCAGATCTGAGTAGGGTGGTCTTTTGAAACTGACAGATGGTAATTTTGTTAGCGCTGATTGTTTTTAAGTACGGGCTAAGGTCTTTAGGCACTGCACCCAGTGTGCCGATCACCACTGGGACCACCTTGATTCTGCCTAGAATCTCATTGGCCTTTTTTTGCTGCCAAAACATCTAGGTCAGTGTATTGTCGAAGGATTTCATGGCCGGAATCACTGGGTTGTTGTAGGTTTTTCCGGGCTATATGGCCATGTTCTAGAGGCATTTTCTCCTGACGTTTCGCCTGCATCTATGGCAAGCATCCTCAGAGGTAATGAGGTCTGTTGGAAGTAGGAAAATGGGTTTATATATCTGTGGAATGACCAGGGTGGGACAAAGGACTTTGTCCCCAGTGTTTCTCAACCTGGGGGTCGGGACCCCTGAGGGGGTCGTGAGGGGGTGTCAAAGGGGTCGCCAAAGACCATCAGAAAACATAGTATTTTGTGGTGGTCATTGGAATTCTGTGTGGGAAGTTTGACCCAATTCCATTGTTGGTCGAGTTCAGAATGCTCTTTGATTGTAGGTGAACTATAAATTCCAACTACAACTCCCAAATGTCAAGGTCTATTTTCCTCAGACTCTGCCAGTGTTCACATTTGGGCATACTGAGTATTCGTGCCAAGTTTGGTCCAGATCCATCATTGCATGAATCCACAGTGTTCCTCTGGATATAGGTGAACTACAACTCCCAAAATCAAGGTCAATGCCCACAAAACCCTTCCAGTGTTTTCTGTTGGTCATGGGAGTTCTTTGTGCCAAGTTCGGTTTAAATCCATTGCTGGTGGAGTTCAGAAAACTCTTTGATTGTAGATGAACTATAAATCCCAGCAACTACAACTCCCAAATTACAAAATCAATCCTCCCCCTCCCCCCAACCCCACTAGCATTCACATTTGGGCATATTAGGTATTTGTGCTCAATTTAGTCCAGTGAATGAAAATATATTCTGCATATCGGATATTTACATTATGATTTGTAACAGTACTAAAATGACAGGTATCAAGTAGCAACGAAAACAATATTGTGGTTGGGGGGTCACCACAACATATGGAACTGCATTAAGGGGTCGCGGCATTAGCAAGGTTGAGAACCACTGATCTAAGCTGAGTGGTTGGTGTGAACTGCCATGATTCATGAGGTCTTGTCATTCATGTCAGACCCCCATTCAACCCTATCCTCAACTGCTCAGGTCTTGCTAAGTGAGTGCCAAGGATTCCTTGATTGAGCCTCTCCATTTGGGTTGTGAACTTCCTCAATTCCTCGAAGTTGCCTTCAACTTTAAGTGAGGAAGCATTTGACCTCTCCACCTGCATCCGGTTAATGGCAAGCTATAAAGTTTCCAGGGTAAAATGGCTTCAAAGGTCATCAAATATCTTTTCCTTTGCTTGCAAGAACTCCAAAGGTCATCAATTTTTTTCTTTGGTTGCAAGAGCTTAGCTGACGTCGTCATGGTATGTTGCTTTTTGGAGCAGAGATTTTGGAGAGGTCACCTCCATGTATTTGTGTTTTGCTCATTGAAGTCTTGCTGTGTTCAACTGGTGTGTTCTATCAGGCTAAGTGTTGGTTGGATTTGGATTTTGGGAGACCAAGGTTTGAATCCTTGCTCAGCTTTAGTTGAGTAGCCTTGGGTGAGTTACACTCTCTCAGCCTCAGAGGAAAGCAATGGCTAGACTTGCCAACGTGGTGCAATGGTTTGAATGTTTGACTAGGATTTGGAGAGGCCAGGGCTCAAATCCCTTCTTGGCCATGAAAATCTATGGGGTGACCTTGGACAAGTCACACTCTCTCAGCCTCAGAGGAGAGGCCAACCTCCTCTGACAAAATGTCCCCAAGAAAGCCTGTTTGAAGTCAACATTGGCTTGAAGGCACATAACATCAGCAACAAACATCTGTGTTTCCTTTGTTGTTGTGAATAATACATTTGGCTCTCTTTGTTGGGTGGTCTCAGACAATTTTTGTTAGTGGGCTGCTGTGAGTTTTCCAGGCTGTATGGCCATGTTCCAGAAGCATTCTCTCCTGATGTTTTGCCCACAAGCATCCTCAGAGTTTGAGGAGTCTGTTGGAAACTAGGCAAGTGGGATTTATATATCTGTGGAATGTCCCACAATGCTCTTATCTAATGATGAGCAGGTAAGAAGTCCACTGGGTTGATGTGAGTTTTCTGGAGTGTATAGCCATGTTCCAGAAGCATTCTCTCCTGATGTTTTGCCTACACCTATGGCAGGCATCCTCAGAGGCTGTGAGATCTACTGGAAACTAAGAAAGAGGGTTTTTTTATATATTTTATATATTTATGGAATGTCCAGGGTGGGAGAAATAACTCTTGTCTGCTTGAGGAAAGAGTGAATGTTGCTATTGGCCACCTTGCAGCTTTAAAGCCTGGCTGCTTCCTGTCTGGGGTAATCCTTTGTTGGGAGGTGTTTGTTCACCCTGATTGTGTCCTGTCTGGATTTCCCGTTTTCTGAGAGTTGTTCTTTACTTACTGTCCTGATTTTAGAATTTTTTAAATACTGGTAGCCAGAATTTGTTCATTTTCTGTTGAAATTGCCCACCTGCTATGTGTGGATTTCCATGGCTTCTCTGTATAGTCTGACACGACGGTTGTCAGAATGGTCCAGCATTTCTGTGTTCTCCAATAATAATATGCTGTGTCCAGGTTGGTTCATCAGGTGCTCTGCTATGGCTGACTTCTCTGGTTGAGTGAGTCTGCAGTGCCTTTCCTGTTCCTTGAATAGTACCTGGGCAATGCTGTTGCGTTTGGTAGACCCTATGTAGACTTGTTCACAGCTGCATGGTATCTGGTAGACTCCTGCAGTAGAGGATCCATCTTGTCTTTTGCTGAAGGGAGCATTGGTTGGATTTTCTTGCTGGGTCTGTAGATTGTTTGTAGGTTGTGTTTCCTCATCAGCTTCCCTATGCGGTCAGTGGTTCCCTTGATGTATGGCAAGAACCCTTTCCCTCTGGGTGGATCTTTGTCTTGACTCTCGTGGCTTGTTCTTGGTCTTACAGCTTTTCTGATGTCTGTGGTGGAATCTCCATTGGACTCGGCACCTGGGCCAGGTGCAGAAATTAATGAGCCAGTAGATAGGAGAAATGCTTTCAGTCAGCACAGAAAAACAAACCAGGCTCTCATGCGCATTGCCAGATTACAGGAGAGACTGATAGCAGATTCAAGGCTGAGATGAAATTCCTGGCCACTTGGGATAAAGAGTAGATTAAGAGATAAAAGTGCCAAGTACAGAGTCTGTAGTCAGACGAAGCAATGTTGGAATAGAGACAAGATGTCATCTCAGGTCCCTGGAAGCCTTGCCTTTGATAGATTCCTATATCAAGTACCTTGTAATATTCATGTTGCAGTGCCTTGTTTGATTCATGCTCAAGTTTTGGGGTTTTGCCTTGGAAGTTCCAGTATTTGTTGTCATGAACTCTGATGGACTATTTCCTGGATTTGTTGTTCTTATCTTTCCTTTCTACCTAATTGGATTTACCTATTTTTGTGGATTGCTTTTTTTTACTGCTACTGCTTTTAATTATCTTCAATAAACTGCTTGCATTTTACTCAGCTGTGTGGTGTTTAAAGTCAGAGGGCTTCCTGGCCTGGAGTGCAACAGCTGAACTATAAATTCCATCCACCTCAACTCCCAAATGTCAAAGTCTATTTTTCTCAAACTATACCAGTGTTCACATTTGGGCATATTGAGCATTGGTGCTAAGTTTGGTCCAGACCCATCACTTTTTGAGTCCATCATGCTGTCTGGATTTAGTTGAACTAAAAATCCAAAGCTCAAGGTCAATGCCCATCAAACCCTCTCAGTTTTTTCTCTTGGTCAAGGGAGTTCCGTGTGCCAAGTTTGGTTCAATTCCATTCTTGGTGTTTGGGAGTTGAAGTCCAAAACACCTGGAGGGCCGAAGTTGGCCCATTCCTGATTTAGACACAATACTCCTTGACAGATTAGAGAGATGGGCCAAAACTAACAAAATGAAGTTCAACAGTGAAAATGCAAGATACTCCACTTTGGCAGGAAAAACGAAATGCAAAGATACAGAATGGGGGACGCCTGGCTTGAGAGCAGTACGTGTGAAAAAGATCTTGGAGTCCTCGTGGACAACAAGTTAAACATGAGCCAACAATGTGATGTGGCGGCAAAAAAAGCCAATGGGATTTTGGCCTGCATCAATAGGAGCATAGTGTCTAGATCCAGGGAAGTCATGCTACCCCTCTATTCCGCTTTGGTTAGACCACACCTGGAATATTGTGTCCAATTCTGGGCACCACAATTCAAGAGAGATATTGACAAGCTGGAATGTGTCCAGAGGAGGGCGACTAAAATGATCAAGGGTCTGGAGAACAAGCCCCATGAGGAGCGGCTTAAGGAGCTGGGCATGTTTAGCCTGAAGAAGAGAAGGCTGAGAGGAGATATGATAGCCATGTATAAATATGTGAGAGGAAGCCACAGGGAGGAGGGAGCAAGCTTTTTTCTGCTTCCCTGGAGAGACTAGGACGTGGAACAATGGCTTCAAACTACAAGAGAGGAGATTCCATCTGAACATGAGGAAGAACTTCCTGGCTGTGAGAGCCGTTCAGCAGTGGAACTCTCTGCCCCGGAGTGTGGTGGAGGCTCCTTCTTTGGAAGCTTTTAAACAGAGGCTGGATGGCCATCTGTCAGGGTGATTTGAATGCAATATTCCTGCTTCTTGGCAGAATGGGGTTGGACTGGATGGCCCAGGAGGTCTCTTCCAACTCTTTGATTCTATAATTCTATGACGCAGCCTAGAATCTCATTGGCTTTTTGAGCTGCCGCATCACTCTGTTGGCTCATGTTCGGCTCGCGGTCTTAATACAACTTTCTTGTGTTTCAGAGGGAGTGCATCTCCATCCATGTGGGCCAGGCTGGTGTCCAGATGGGCAATGCTTGCTGGGAGTTGTATTGTCTGGAACACGGGATCTTGTCGGACGGGACCATCGCCAGCGCCATCCAAGAAGGACAAGTGGATTCATCCTTTGAGACCTTTTTCTGCAAAACGGGGGCAGGAAAGCATGTCCCCAGGGCAGTGTTTGTAGACCTGGAACCTTCCGTTGTCGGTAAGTGATCCCGTGTGTTTAAAACAAGTGGGCAAAAGGCAGCGTGATGGTTGATGCGTCTGGAAACCTGGGTTCGAATCTTGCTCAGCCATAGAAATTGACAGGGTGACCTCTCACAAGGCACACTCTCTCTGCCCCCAAAACATGGTGGATTCACCTTAGAGTTGCCATTGAGTCAGAAATAACTTGAAGGCACACAACAACAGCATCCTGTTTCTTTATTTAGTAGAGTTTTTCCACATGAAGTGATTCTTAAACTGGTTATATCAACTGAAAGAGACAGTTGAAGACCTATCTCTTCCAATAGGCCTACCCAGTCAATTATTATTATTTGAAACATAACAAGACGAGTACACAGCAAACAAGATCATTTTGTTGGCTGTTGTATTGGATCACACGTTGGACACTTCCCAAGTGTCTAGAACTATGTGATGTATTGTCGAATAACGTGTGCAGATCTCAGTAGGGTGGCCTTTTGCAGCTGACAGGTGGTAACTTTGTCAGTGCTGATTGTGTTTAAGTGCAGGCCAAAGCCCTTAGGCACTGCACCCAGTGTGCCGATCACCACTGCGACCATCTTGACTGGCTTGTGCCAGAGTCATAGAATCATAGAATCAAAGAGTTGGAAGAGACCTCATGGGCCATCCAGTCCAACCCCATTCTGCCGAGAAGCAGGAATATTGCATTCAAATCACCCCTGACAGATGGCCATCCAGCCTCTGTTTAAAGGCTTCCAAAGAAGGAGTCTCCACCACACTCTGGGGCAGAGAGTTCCACTGCTAAATGGCTCTCACAGTCAGGAAGTTCTTCCTCATGTTCAGATGGAATCTCCTCTCTTGTAGTTTGAAGCCATTGTTCCACATCCTAGTTTCCAGGGAAGCAGAAAACAAGCTTGCTCCCTCCTCCCTGTGGCTTCCTCTCACATATTTATACATGGCTATCATATCTCCTCTAAGCCTTCTCTTCTTCAGGCTAAACATGCCCAACTACTTAAGCCGCTCCTCATAGGGCTTGTTCTCCAGACCCTTGATCATTTTAGTCACCCTCCTCTGGACACATTCCAGCTTCTCAATATCTCTCTTGAATTGTGGTGCCCAGAATTGGACACAATATTCCAGGTGTGGTCTAACCAAGCAGAATAGAGGGGTAGCATGACTTCCCTAGATCTAGACACTATGCTCCTATTGATGCAGGCCAAAATCCCATTGGCTTTTTTTGCCGCCACATCACATTGTTGGCTCATGTTTAACTTGTTGTCCACGAGGACTCCAAGATCTTTTTCACACGTACTGTCTCGAGCCAGGCATCCCCCATTCTGTATCTTTGCATTTCATTTTTTCTGCCTAAGTGGAGTATCTTGCATTTGTCACTGTTGAACTTCATTTTGTTAGTTTTGGCCCATCTCTCTAATCTGTCAAGATTGCTTTGAATTCTGCTCCTGTCCTCTGGAGTATTGGCTATCTCTCCCAGTTTGGTGTCATCTGCAAACTTGACGATCATGCCTTTTAGCTCTTCATCTAAGTCATTAATAAAGATGTGGAACAGGACCAGAACTATATGATGTATCGGCGAACAATGCGTGCAGATCTCAGTAGGGTAGCCTTTTGCAGCTGACAGGTGGTAACTTTGTCAGTGCTCATTGTCTTTAAGTGCAGGCCAAAGTCCTTAGGCATTGCACCCAGTGTACCGATCACCACTGGGACCATCTTGACTGGCTTGTGCCAGTGTCTTTGCAGTTCGATCTTTAAATCCTTATTTCATGTCATCTTTTCCAGTTGTTTCTCTTCGATCATGCTGTCACCTGGGATTGCAACATCGACAAACCCAAAACTTGGAAGTCCCAGAGTAGTTTGACATGCTCATTTTCTGTAACTTTTTCCAACTTGTGATCCCACCGGTTCTTTGTTGCAAGCAGATAGTCTTTGTGGCACAAGTTCCAATGAATCATCTGAGCAACGGTGTTATGCCTCTGCTTGTAGTCTGTCTGCACAATCTTCTTGCAGCAGCTGAGGATGTGATCTATTGTTTCATCTGCTTACTGGTAGAGTCTATTCTTGGGATCTCTTGTCAAATTTTCAATTTTGGCTTGAATAGCATTGGTTCTAATGGTTTGTTCTTGGGCTGCCAGAATCAGGCCCTCCGTCTCCTTTTTCCAAATTCCAGTTGTGAGCCACAGCCATGTTTTTTCTTTGCCAATTTGGCTCTCAATTTTTTCCAGGAACTGTCCATGGAGAGAGAGCCTTCTTTGGCCAGTTTTCTCTTCTGCTCTGGGTTGTATTATTATTATTATTATTATTATTATTATTATTATTATTAGAAACACAACAAGATGAGTCCACAGCACTCTGCTGGCTGTTGTATTGGATCACACGTCAGACACTTTCCAGGTGTCTAGGACTGTGTGATGTATCTGCGAATAATGCGTGCAGATCCCAGTAAGGTGGCCTTCTGCAGCTGGCAGATGATAATTTTGTCAGCGCTGATCGTGTTTAAGTGCAGGCCAAGGTCTTTAGGCACCGCACCCAGTGCAAAGGCCATCAGGAGGCTAGACAAATAGTCAGGAGCTTACTCCAATCTGGACTGGGTTCGAACTCATGACCTTTCAGTCAGTAATGATTTCAATGCAGCTGGCTCACAACCAGCTGTGCCACAACCTGGTCCATCCTGTCTTCCAGATGAGATCCGTACTGGGAAGTACCGTTCCCTTTTCCACCCGGAGCAGATGATCAGCGGCAAAGAAGATGCTGCCAACAATTACGCCCGAGGCCATTACACCATCGGCAAGGCACTCATCGACACGGTTCTGGATAGGATTCGCAAAGTGGTGAGTTTGGAACCCATCTTTGCAACGAGTTCCATTTCAGACTATTTCCGGCAAGGATGGGGAGATGACAGATATTGCAGGGCCTACTTCGTGCGCACCTCAAGACCTCATATGAGCACACCTGCCTTACATCCACCCTTCAAATATATATAAATACAAACAGACATACACACATATATGACGGCATAATAACAGCAGAAGTTGCTCCAGATCATAGCCTGAACCGTCCTCTACACAAAACTACCATTCAATTTAGTTCACCATCAATTTGTACACATTTGCACCATCTTGCTAAACAGTCTGATTTTCCTGTGTATGTAGTATAGCTGAAGCAATGTATTGTCAAAGGCTTTCATGGGTTGTTGTAAGTTTTTTTGGGCTGTACGGCCATGTTCCATGCTTTTGTAACATGGCCATACAGCTCGAAAAACGTACAACAACCTATAGCTGAAGCATTTTCTACAGATCTCACTGTGAACACTGCCAAAAATTGCTAACAGATTCATGTAATTATCTAAAACAGCCACTAGGTGGCATTCGGAATTTTTTTGGGACACCCATCTCCAGATATTTTATTTATTTATTTATTTATTTATTTATTTATTTATTTATTTATTTTGTGCATTTCTACCCCGCCCTTCTCAACCCCCAAGGGGTTACAAAAAGGCACAATTCAATGCCAACACAAACAATAAGAGAAAAACATACATCAACAACAGTTTTAAAACAATTAAAACCATCAATTATACATCGCAATCAATAAAACCAGTCTAATGCTCAACGTTCACCAACTCAGAGTCCGTAAATTCATTCCACATTGTCAAATCCTATCAATTCTAGTCGTCGTTGTCCTTTGTCTATCTGCCAGATTACCCAAAGGCCTGGTCCCATATCCATGTTTTTAGTTTCCTTCTAAATGAGAGGAAGGATGTCGATGACCTAATTTCCCCAGGAAGTGAATTCCACAGGTGAGGGGCCACCACCGAGAAGGCAGTGCTCCTCGTCCCCACCAATCTCACTTGTGATAGAGGTGGGGCCGTGAGCAGGGCCTCCCCAGAAGATCTTAAACTCCGAGGCGGGACGTAGAAGGAGATGCGTTCGGACAGATATGCTGGGTTCTGTAGGTCAAAACCATCACAAAACCGGATATGGCTACCCCATTTGGGTTTGGCGCCCACAGTTTAGGAACTATTCCTAGACTTGAGCTGTTTTTCTTGACTACCCTCAATGGTATGCTATTGAATACAAAGATGGAAGTCTATCCCAATACATTACCGAAATTTGAGACCACCAGCCAAGGGGTTGTAAATCTCATGTTATCCTTTTTTAAGGAAAATAGATACAGGACTAAATGTCTTTTTCTCTTCTGCCCCTCCTTTTTCAGGCAGACCAGTGCTGTGGCCTCCAAGGTTTCTTGGTCTTCCACAGTTTTGGTGGAGGGACAGGGTCAGGCTTCACGTCTCTCCTAATGGAGCGGCTCTCGGTTGATTTTGGAAAGAAGGCCAAGCTCGAATTCTCAGTCTACCCTGCCCCACGCATCTCCACTGCAGTAGTGGAGCCCTACAACTCCATCCTGACCACCCACACCACCCTGGAGCACTCGGACTGCTCATTCATGGTGGACAATGAAGCCATCTATGAGATCTGCAACCGCAACCTCAACGTGGAGCATCCAACATATATCAACCTCAACCGGCTGATTGGGCAGATTGTGTCCTCCATTACTGCTTCCTTGAGGTTTGATGGGGCCTTGAATGTTGACCTGACTGAATTCCAGACCAACCTGGTGCCCTATCCCCGTATCCACTTCCCCTTGACCACTTACGCGCCCATCATCTCTGCTGAAAAGGCCTTCCACGAGCAGCTCTCCGTGCCGGAAATCACCAACACCTGCTTTGAGTTTTCCAACCAGATGGTGAAGTGCGACCCTCGGCGGGGCAAATATATGGCCTGCTGCCTGCTCTACCGGGGCGACGTAGTGCCCAAGGATGTCAACGCAGCCATTGCCGCCATCAAGACCCGGAGGGCCATCCAGTTCGTGGACTGGTGCCCAACCGGCTTCAAGGTGGGCATCAACTACCAGCCACCAACAGTGGTTCCTGGGGGTGACCTAGCGAATTTGCAGCGGGCCGTATGCATGCTGAGCAATACGACGGCCATTGCCGAACCCTGGGCCCGGCTAAATCACAAATTCGACCTGATGTATGCCAAGCGGGCCTTTGTCCACTGGTATGTTGGGGAGGGCATGGAGGAAGGGGAGTTCTCCGAAGCCCGGGAGGATCTGGCGGCCTTGGAGAAGGATTATGAAGAAGTTGGGCAAGACTCTGGTGATGTTAGATCTGATGCGGAGGATGACCAAAGCTTTTGAGCATCCAGGGTTGCAGGAGAGACCTTTGGAAAGCCAGAGAAATGCAAACTTTCACAATTGTTTGAAATAATGTTAGAAAATAAAATATACAACAGAAAAAAGCAAGCCCACAGCTTTTCTTCTATGGCCAGATTTTGTTTTAATTTCCAACTGGGAGAAGGGAAATACCTTGTGTTTCTGCTCTATTCCTTTCCATAGCATTATAATTGTGCATTCTTGCATGGAGGGGGAATTGGACTAGATGGCCTTTGTGGCCCCTTCCAACTCTTCTATCACTCTAAACACAGTAAGACCCCTGTATCCACAGGGGACACATCCACCTCACTTCCAATCCCAGCATATCACAGAGTTGTGTTAGAAGACCTACAGCAGACCTGCATAAGACGGCAGTAGGTAGGGACCAACATTAAAAATGGTTAAACTTCTTCGTAATTATATGAAACCAAACACCATGAAATCATCTCACTTCTGGTCCCAGTGATGTAGAGATAAGAATTTGGGGTCTTTGCCAGGAGGCATAGACCAATTAGACTCATCAAAGAGTTCTTTTTCCCTGGCGAGACAGAGAAGCATCCCATATTTTTCCCTGATTTCCCAATGAAAAGTCTCACCAGTTGAAGAAAAGCCATTGAGGTTTAATGAGATTCAGCTGAAAAGGATGCAGAGTTGCAATCATTCGCCAAAGCTAAGCATGAGGGGAGTACACCAATACAGTCATATTTATAGCAAATTCAAAATTGCAGAGTTCAAACTCCCCGCCCCGGCTTCCCTGTTGTTCCCCGCCATGATTGGGCGATGGGCGAACAGCTGGGAGGTGGCTGTCCCACCCCCGGTGCCTCTGGACCAATCAGGAAGCTCCAGTGGTCCGTAGGATCCAATGGGGAAACCTCTGCCACCTGGTGGCAACAGCAAATCAGGAGAGAGGGAGGCGGGATGAGGGAGCACAAAAGGATCTGGGAAGGAGTCTTTAAACAAAGTAAATGCCATGTGGTCTGAGACAAAAAGCTCAAACAGGGCCGATCTATTGTGTTCATGAGTGTTGTGAATCAACATGTGTAAAAATATCCAGATCCTTCCTGGCTGTGAGACAGGAGAACAATGATGGCAGCCTGAAGTTACTGCTATCAATGGGAAGTAAACAAAAGCAGAGGGGAAGATTTCCCCTTATCTTACAGAAACTTTTGTCAAACAATTCTTTACTCTAGTGGGCCATTTCCGATGCTAGAGATAAGAATTTCCTTCTTTTATCCATGCAAGTGTGTCTTTGGCATGAGGTTTCAGTAATCGTTAATGGCTTTTGTTTCTGGAGGCCAGGGGGTTCCCTTACATATTTCTTTGGAGGGAGAAGAGGCAAAGGGTCAGGAATACAAGGAAACATAAAAAAATATAGAAATTATACACAGGGAAATCATATGTAGGTATCTTCCAATTCAGAGAGAAATTAATAATACCAATTATAAAAAGCAGACAATATCAGAACACAGCATGAATTCATAAGTTGTCTTGAAGAAAGTTCATGGGTAGGGAGTGAGTCCTTGAAGAGAGTGAAGTCCAGGAATGTAGCAGAATTCAAAAAAGCCACCAAAGGGAATCTATGGAGTTCCACTGGGCCAAGACACAAAGCCCTGCAGCGCTGGGATGGAAGCCGGTCCCATGGTCCTTGGAAAACTACAGCTCTCGAGAGAGAGGCGGAGACCCCAAGGTCTAGCCATTCCCGAAGTTTCATGCGGTCCTCATTGTTGTTAAGGTCTTGGCAAATTCACCAAGACTTAACCCCTATTGTGCAGTCTGGTACCTTTGTCTTTTGCAGAACTATAAGTTACCATCCCTTGGTTGGGGGGGGGGCATGCACGACTTCACCAGCATACCATAGGATTGTGTTGAAGGACCTATAGATTTTCAGAGAGATACCTTCTTTAGGAATTGGCTTGCTGAGTAGCATATACTAGAATTGCCCAGAGAGATCATTTTCCCTCAGGTGTGGATAAGTGAAACCACAGAATTGAGTTCTGTGAGTATTAGTGTTTTGATAGGACAGGCTGAGTAACCTACATTATATCTTAATTTCCTTCCATGAGCACAGTATGTGGCTGTTCTCTCAAAATCATTGGCACAACATACTTAACATTCTTCTTAAAGTGCTTTGACCTGAACAGAACACAGGGTTGTTATTCCAACCGACATCTGACTGAAGCAGAAACAAGTGAGACTAAGGACTTCATCACATGGAGTGTTTTTCCCGTTGTAGGACACGTTAGATCAATTTCAAGGAGCTCATCAGATGACATTGGCTAGCCTCCAGACATCATCCTTTGCCTTTCGTCCTTGAAATGGAGCTGAAGTGTGCTGAAACCATGTTCTGAACCCATGGCATGCACCAGAACCATTATTAATGCTGAAGAACACACGTGATGGGATGTGACAGAATTGCCCGCGTTGAATCGTTTCAGCGACGTGGAGGAATGGGCGTTCCAATCCTCACCACTTTGCTTTCACTGCATTTTCTCAATAGTGCTCTAGGCTCGTAATTGTGCTCTTGCTAACTTATTAATATAACAGTGGTCTAATGGAGGGAAGGAAAGCCTAGTGGATAGAGATCATGGCAAAGGGGTTTATAATTACACTGGCATAATCAAAGGAAGCAAGGTCTTGCAAGATGGGATGGTTTCAAAGGGAAGGAAGGCATGGGAAAGACTTATCATGGTGAACGGGTTTCAAATTCCTGCACTTTCCACTCCAAATGGGATAAGGTGCATAGTAATCTTGGCTTTGAGATATTGAAGTTTTCCCTGGAAAGGATGGAGGATTCCCCATGTGATGATTCCAAATACAGGCAACAAGAAGTGAAAAACTGAAGAGGGAAATGTGTGATAGGCAGACAAAACTTGAAATGGGACGATTGGGGTTCTAACAGTACAATTCCCTTTGCTAGATAGAGGGCCTCCAAAGCTTCTCACGGTCCATGTGATGAAGTCCTAGGACTTTCCCTGACCTGGACACTCCTATTAATGCAGCGTAGAATTGCATTGGCCTTTTTAGCTGCCTCATCACACTTGAACAGGGAAATGTGTGATAGGAAGACAGAGTTTGAAACGGGACGATTGGGGATCTAAAGGTACAATTCCCTTTGCTAGATAGAGGGCCTCCAAAGCTTCTCAAGGTCCATGTGATGAAGTCCTAGGACTTTCCTAGACCTGGACACTCCTATTAATGCAGCGTAGAATTACTTTGGCCTTTTTAGCTGCCTCATCACACTTGAAGGAGTGATACAAAGACAGAACTTGAAATGGGATGACTGGGGATCTAACGGTACAATTCCCTTTGCTAGACAGAGGGCTACCAAAGCTTCTCAAGGCCCATGTGATGAAGTCCTAGGACTTTCCTAGACCTGGACACTCCTATTAATGCAGCGCAGAATTACATTGGCCTTTTTAGCTGCCTCATCACACCCGAAGAGGGAAATGTGTGATAGGAAGACAACTTGAAATGGAACTTCTCAAGGTCCATGTGATGATGTCCTAGGACTTCCTTAGATCTGAATGCTCAACCCCTATTGATTCAGCATAGAATTGCATTGGCCTTTTAAGCTGCTTCATCACACTTATCCTCTATCAACACATTTCATTTCCCCGCCTGTTAATATCTTACTAAAGTAGAGTCTCACTTATCCAACATAAACGGGCCAGCAGAACGTTGGATAAATGAAAATGTCGGATAATACAGAGTCTCCTACTGTTACCCAGCCAACATGGTGCTAGGCATCTAGAATACTAATAACAGGGATTCAAAGAGTTAAGGGCAAGGCCATGCCTCGGGGCTAGAGAGGCTGAGCAGGAAGTGCTTGGATGCGGAAGAGGAGCGTGGAAATCACAGAGGGAAGGAGGGAGGACGCTTCCGCTTCCGGTCCTGCCTCTTTTTCCCCTTTCCTCCCCCCCCCTCCTCTTCCTTGTCTTGCCTTTTTCATTTATTGGGAATGGAGTGCTCCTTTAATTGAAGGGGAAATGCTGGAGGAAAGAGGGAGGCGCGTCGGATAAGACGAAATGTCGGATAAGGAAAGGTCGGATAAGTGAAGGTTGGATAAGTAAGACTCTACTGTATTTCCCCAATGTTGGATTTCATTTTGGCAGTTTTGGCCCTGCTGTCTAATCCGTGAAGGTCATTTTGGATTTTGGTTGTATCCTTTGGGGCATTAGCTGTCCAGCTGCAAAAACTATAGCAAGGAAAAAGAAGACAGCAAGAAATCAACTCATTTGAAATGTTTCACTGGAGAAAGGTTCTATGGAGACCATGTACTGCCCAAGATACAAATGCATGGACCAGAAATCAAATTGAACTTTTGCTAGGAGCCAAGACAAGTACACCATGGCTGTTGTACTTGGGATATAACAGTTTGGTAAGAGGGCAGGAGGGAAAGAGGGAGACCACGTTCTGGATACAGAGAGATGCCACTTGAGCTGCCATTGTTCAATGCTAAGGGATCCTGTTTTTTTTTTTAGTGTGGTGAGGCACCAGCATGCTTTGCAAAGACCTTGGGAGCTTCCAAACAGCACTTAATCATGGGTTTTTAGCAAGGGGCAAAACATACTGGGATTTCTGCTTCTGTTGTCCAGATTGTCCAGACTTGTCCAGACTTGGGAGATTTAGAGGCTCCCAAGATGGCCGCCACAGGACTTCCACTGGAAACATCGGCGGTTTTGATGCGGATATGCAAAGATTCAGATATGTGAATCACTGTAAAAGCTGTTCTTTGGTCTGTCCAGAAAAACTCTGCCCTCCTCCAGACGTTTCATGGACTGCACAATCAAACAGGAACACACACTTTCAAACCAGGAACACAACTTTGTTATTGTTGACACTTTTAAGAGCCTGGCTGTCTGGGCATCTGTCCAGACAGATTTGGTTGTGTACTTGTGGAATCAAAAACAGGGTACTGTTCCTGGGTTAGACATGGCTGTTCCAGATTCTTTTTCTTGTGAAAAGATGTACAATGTCAACTTAGGGGGTCACAATTTTGTCCTGGCCAGAAAAACCGTGCCCTCCAGACGTTTCATGAAGTTTCTGGCACACAAACTAAGTTTTTGCCTTCTATTCAAGTGTCACCTTCTTTTTAGCAACCGAACAATTAGGAAGAAACATCTAAAACCCAGGAACAAACCCAGGTTAAAAATTCCATGATTTCCAATTACAGGATATACAGTAGGCTAGTTTGATCAAAAAACGTTCAAAACTCTTTTCGAAACTTTTGAAACTTCCAAAACTTCCGAATCCTTCCTTACTGGTTTGAAAGTGTAATTTCCTGTTTCATTGGGTAGTCTTTACTTTGAAAATAGTTGTTCTACTCCAGAAAGGGGGGGGGGCAAAGGGAGGAAATTTATTATTCTCTGGTTTAAAATGGCTTCCCAGGCTTGAGACACAAAAGGGGGGGGAGAGAGGAAAGGGAGGAAATTCATCCACTCTGGTTTTAAACAGCTTCCCAGGCTTGGGACAGAAAGGGGGGGGAGGAAAGAGAGGAAATTCATCCACTCTGGTTTAAAAGGCTGCTTTGGCGTGAGACAGAAGAGGGGGAAGAGGAAAGGGAGGAAATTCATCCACTCCGGTTTAAAATGCTTCCCAGGCTTGAGACAGAAGCGAGGGGGGGAGGAGGGAGGAAATTCATCCACTCTGGTTAAAATGCTTCCCAGGCTTGGGACAGAAGGGGGGAGGAAAGAGAAGAAATTCATCCACTCTGGTTTAAAATGGCTTCTCTGGCTTGAGACAAAAGAGGGGGGGGAGGAAAGGGAGGAAATTCATCCACTCTGGTTTAAAATGGCTTCTCTGGCTTGAGACAGAAAAGGGGGGGGAGAGGAAAGGAAGGAAATTCATCCACTCTAGTTTAAAATGGCTTCTCTGGCTTGAGACAGAAGAGGGGGGAAAGGAAAGGGAGGAAATTCATCCACTCTGGTTTAAAACGGCTTCTCTGGCTTGAGACAGAAAGGGGGGAGAGGAAAGGGAGGAAATTCATCCACTCTGGTTTAAAATGGCTTCTCTGGCTTGAGACAGAAGGGGGGGAGAGGAAAGGGAGGAAATTCATCCACTCTGGTTAAAACGGCTTCTCTGGCTTGAGACAAAATAGGGGGGAAAGGAAAGGGAGGAAATTCATCCACTCTGGTTTAAAATGGCTTCTCTGGCTTGAGACAGAAAAGGGGGGGGAGAGGAAAGGGAGGAAATTCATCCACTCTAGTTTAAAATGGCTTCTCTGGCTTGAGACAGAAGAGGGGGGAAAGGAAAGGGAGGAAATTCATCCACTCTGGTTTAAAATGGCTTCTCTGGCTTGAGACAGAAAAGGGGGGGGAGGAAAGGGAGGAAATTCATCCACTCTAGTTTAAAATGGCTTCTCTGGCTTGAGACAGAAGAGGGGGGAAAGGAAAGGGAGGAAATTCATCCACTCTGGTTTAAAACGGCTTCTCTGGCTTGAGACAGAAAAGGGGGGGAGGAAAGGGAGGAAATTCATCCACTCTGGTTTAAAACGGCTTCTCTGGCTTGAGACAGAATAGGGGGGAGGAAAGGGAGGAAATTCATCCACTCTGGTTTAAAATGGCTTCTCTGGCTTGAGACAGAAAAGGGGGGGAGGAAAGGGAGGAAATTCATCCACTCTAGTTTAAAATGGCTTCTCTGGCTTGAGACAGAAGAGGGGGGAAAGGAAAGGGAGGAAATTCATCCACTCTGGTTTAAAACGGCTTCTCTGGCTTGAGACAGAAAAGGGGGGGAGGAAAGGGAGGAAATTCATCCACTCTGGTTTAAAACGGCTTCTCTGGCTTGAGACAGAATAGGGGGGAGAGGAAAGGGAGGAAATTCATCCACTCTGGTTTAAAACGGCTTCTCTGGCTTGTGCCGAGGCCAGGGACCAGAAGCAGAGAAAAGCTGAATAATTTCTGACTCACTTACTGCTTCGTAACAGAAATGTCGGAAAAATCTTCGGAAGGGCAAAGGGACTTCCGGTTTCCTTAAAAACTTTGAAATTGCTTCAAAAAGCAAATCTTTCCGAACTTATTCCGAATTACGAAGATTCCGACCGAACCTAACCATGCCTAATATACAAACATGCGGAGATTCTGCATATTCTACTCAAAACCGCAATATTCCTGCATTTGGAAATCTCACAGTTTTTGCCTTTTGTAGTGATTGCTTCCAGGTTTACAGGGAACGGCATGTGGCCACCCTCCTGATTGCTTCAGGAGCTTCTGGGATAAAGGTCCTCTCTGGACAGGCCCCTTGTAATACTGTAGCTCTCGTGGTTCATTCTACAGTTTAAATGCACTCTCCACCTTCCAAACATCTCAACACTTGTCTTGCTCTCTTTCGAGTAGAGCAGTGGTTCTCAACCTTCCTAACGCCGTGACCCCTTAATACAGTTCCTCATGTTGTGGTGACCCCCAACCATAACCCTATCATTATGAATCACCATGTAAATAATGATCTGCAGGATGTATTTTCATTCACTGGAGCAAATTTGGCACAAATACCCAATATGCCCAAATTTGAATACTGGTGGGGTTGGCGGGGGGATTGATTTTGTCATTTGGGAGTTGTAGTTGCTGGGATTTATAGTTAACATGTAAACAAAGAGCATTCTGAACCCCACCAACAATGGAATTGAACCAAAGTTTGCACAGAGAACTCCCACGATCAAAAGAAAATACTGGAAGGGTTTGGTGGGCATCGACCTTGAGTTTGGGAGTTGTAGTTTGCCTACATCCAGAGAACACTGTGGGCTCAAACAATGATGGATCTGGATCCAACTTGGCACGGATACTCAATATGCCCAAATGTGAACACTGATGGGGTTTGGGGAAAATAGACTTTGACATTTGGGAGTTGTAGATACTGGGATTTATAGTTCACCTACAATCAAGGAGCGTTCTGAACACCACCAATGATAAAATTGGGCCAAACTTCCCAAACAGAGCCCCATGCCCAACAAAAAATACTGTTTTTTCTGATGGTCTTTGGTGACCCCTCTGACATCCCTTTGTGACCCCCTCAGGGGTCCCGACCCCCAGGTTGAGAAACACTGGAGTAGAGGGTGTAATCTACAAATACAAATTCTATGTGTTTTCTATTTCCTTAAATGTAATGGTTTTGGCCTAAGGAACCCTGGTACTCCACCAGACTACATAGCCCAGTTTTCTGTAAGATAGTGCCACAACGGTGAAACTGTTATGAAACTGATATAATTGGGCGGTGCAGATATGCTCTGTTTGGCTGTGGCAAAACCTCGGTGGACGCATCAATCAAGCGGGAAAGAAATCCAATAAAAAGAATTAGAAACTCAAGAGAATTTGCTTTAATTGCAGCCCGTGTCATGGAAAATGAACAATTTGCCCTTCCTTTTTTTTTTGGAGGGTAAGTAAGTATTCCAGATATTGGCTCCACTTAGGACAGGTTCCACCGAGAAGGGGGAAAATGAAACAGAAAGAGGCGGTGGGGAAAATGAAGCACGAATGTGAAACAGCTTTTGAGGACTGGAAAATATACAGCGCTTGTGTTGTATAGTACAGCAGACAGTTCTTCCGAGCGGGGTTTGGAGGGAAGGAAGGGCAAGAGCAAAGGCTTTCTTCCGGGGCTCAACGGTGGTGGCCCCTTCCCTCTCTCCATTCCCGGTCTTCATCACTTTCTCCGGCCAATTTGCGCCATCAGCTCGGCGTTGGCGGCCGCCTTGGCCCTCATGTTCTTCGCCTTGGCAATGTTAAAGAGGATGTTCATGATGTTGGTGGGGACGTCGAGGGAGAGGGTGAACTTAGTGCGGCGGTCACTTTTGGCCGGTCCTGGGGGCGCCTTGCCCTTGCCCTGCCATTGGGAGAGGGACTTGTAGCGCGTGACCCCCGGATACGTCCTTTTCCCCTTCTCCTCCTCCTCTGATTCTTCGTCTTCGGCCTCCTCCCCGCCTCCTGACCGCAGGCCAAAGCTCCTCTTTTCCAAGGGGGAGTTTTCCCCCAGGAAGGCTCTGCTGGCGTCCGAGAGAGCGGCGTTGATGCAGCCGTAGATGGATTCGGCTTGGTAGAACTTGAGCGAAAGGCCTCTCCTGGCCACGAGCAAAACCAGCAAGAGGACCAGGACCTTGGGCTGAGCCATCGTCCTTTCTGCCCGACGTCACTAGAGAAGAAGAGAAATGGAAAGACAGAGGTTGGAATAATCTGTGCTATTTGCTTTTGCTTGGTAATTGCTAATGATAATTTCTGTGATTTGCTAGTAGCAATTGCTTGACAAGTGTATTCAATTCGGCAGTATTGCAAATGTGTCTTAAACAACACTGTTTAGATTTGCAAAACAACATAGAATCATAAAGTTGGAAGAAACCTCGTTGGCCATCCAGTCCAACACCAATCTGCCAAGAAGCAGGAAAATTGTGTGCAGAATATTGCCAAGACATTTTGTAATTTCTGCTTCTGGGCTGCTGAAAGAAGATCTCTCACATGGACACCTAAGAACCATGTGAATCTCTCTCAAAGGACATTGTGTGAGTCAATGCAACTGTTCATAGAATCATAGAATCATAGAATCATAGAATCATAGAATCATAGAATCATAGAATCATAGAATCATAGAATCATAGAATCATAGAATCAAAGAGTTGGAAGAGACCTCATGGGCCATCCAGTCCAACCCCATTCTGCCAAGAAGCAGGAATATTGCATTCAAAGCACCCCTGACAGATGGCCATTCAGCCTCTGTTTAAAAGCTTCCAAAGAAGGAGCATCCACCACGCTCCGGGGCAGAGAGTTCCACTGCTGAACGGCTCTAATAATAATAATAATCTTTATTTATACCCTGCTCCATCTCCCCGATGGGGACTCGGTGCGGCTTACATGAGGCCATGCCCAAAACAACAATTACATGAAATAAAACAAAACCGAAAACGCAAATAATAAACAATAATAACGCAAGTACATAAAACAAAGACAACATAGCAATATAAAATTGCAGTAATCAGTACAGTATTTGCTTTTGCTTGATAATTGCTAATCATAATTTCTGTGACTTGCTAATGGCAATGGCTTGACAAGTGTATTCAATTTGGCAATATTGCAAATGTGTCTCAAACACCACTGTTTAGATTTGCAAAACAACACAGAATCAAAAAGTTGGAAGAAACCTTGTTGGCCATCCAGTCCAACCCCAATCTGCCAAGAAGCAGGAATATTGCATTCAAATCATCCCTGACAGATGGCCATTTATTTATTTATTTATTTACTGTGCTTATAGACCGCTGTTCTCAGCCCAGGGGCGACTCACAGCGGTGTACAACATGGAGGGATAGGTGCAAATTACAAGACATAATCTAACGACAACTAGTAATATCAAAAACATCGTCATCAACAGCATCAACATCAACAATCTCGATATCAACAATACAAAAATACAAAAATACAAAAATACAAAAAGTCATTCGCATCGTCTCATCGTTAAACCACAATCCAATATCTTTTCCGCTGTTCCATTCCTGTCCTCATTACCAATTTATTGCACATCCAGTCCAACCCCTGCCAAGAAGCAGGAATGTTGCATTCAAATCACCCCTGACAGATGGCCATCCAGCCTCTGATTAAAAGCTTCCATAGAATGAGCCTCCACCACACTCCAGGGCAGAGAGTTCCACTGCTGAACGGCTCTCACAGTCAGGAAGTTCTTCCTCATGTTCAGGTGGAATCTCCTTTTCTGTAGTTTGAAGCCATTGTTCCGCGTCCTAGTCTCCAGGGCAGCATAGAATCATAGAATCAAAGAGTTGGAAGAGACCTCATGGGCCATCCAGTCCAACCCCCTGCCAAGAAGCAGGAATATTGCATTCAAATCACCCCTGACAGATGGCCATCCAGCCTCTGCTTAAAAGCCTCCACAGAATGAGCCTCTGCCACACTCTGGGGCAGAGAGTTCCACTGCTGAACAGCTCTCATGGTCAGAAAGTTCTTCCTCATGTTCAGGTGGAATCTCCTTTCCTGTAGTTTGAAGCCATTGTTCCGCGTCCTAGTCTCCAGGGCAGCATAGAATCATAGAATCAAAGAGTTGGAAGAGACCTCGTTGGCCATCCAGTCCAACCCCAATCTGCCAAGAAGCAGGAATATTGCATTCAAATCACCCCTGACAGATGGCCATTCAGCCTCTGCTTAAAAACCTCCATAGAAGGAGCCTCCATCACACTCCAGGGCAGAGAGTTCCACTGCTGAACGGCTCTCACAGTCAAGGAAGTTCTTCCTCATGTTCAGGTGGAATCTCTCTCTTGTAGTTTGAAGCCATTGTTGCCTCCTAGTCTCCAGGGCAGCAGAAAACAAGTTCGCTCCCTCCTCCCTATGACTTCCTCTCACATATTTATACATGGCTATCATGTCTCCTCTTCTTCAGGCTAAACATGCCCAGCTCTTTAAGCCGCTCCTCATAGGGCTTGTTCTCCAGACCCTTTATCATTTTAGTCGCCCTCCCCTGGACACATTCCAGCTTGTCAATAACACTTTATGTATATTAATAATTCATAGAATCATAGAATCAAAGAGTTGGAAGAGACCTCATGGGCCACCCAGTCCAACCCCATTCTGCCAAGAAGCAGGAATATTGCATTCAAATCACCCCTGACAGATGGCCATCCAGCCTATGTTTAAAAGCTCCCAAAGAATGAGCCTCCACCACACTCCGGGGCAGAGAGTTCCACTGCTGAACAGCTCTCACAGTCAGAAAGTTCTTCCTCATATTCAGGTGGAATCTCCTTTCTTGTAGTTTGAAGCCATTGTTCCATTGCGTCCTAGTCTCCAAGGAAGCAGAAAACAAGCTTGCTCCCTCCTCCCTGTGGCTTCCTCTCACATATTTATACATGGCTATCATGTCTCCTCTCAGCCTTCTCTTCTGCAGGCTAAACATGCCCAGCTGTTTAAGCTGCTCCTCATAGGGCTTGTTTTCCAGACCCTTGATCATTTTAGTCACCCTCCTCTGCACACATTCCAGCTTGTCAATAACACTCTGTGTATATTAATAATTGCCTAATAGCGTAAACTATAATGTAAGTTGGGTTGTTGTAGGTTTTTTCAGGCTATATGGCCATGGTTTAGAGGCATTCTCTCCTGACATTTCACCTGCATCTATGGCAAGCATCCTCAGAGGTAGTGAGGTCTGTTGGAACTAGGAAAAAAGGTTTATATATCTGTGGAATGACCAGGGTGGGACAGAGCACCTGATGAACCAACCTGGACACAGCATTTTATTTGAGAACACAATAATGCTGGAACACTCTCAGAACCAGCATGGTGGGTATGTTTCAACTGACCACCTTGATTAGCATATAATGGCCTGACAGTGCCTGGAGCAAACTTTTGTTGAGAGGTGATTAGATGTCCCTGTTTGTTTCCTCTCTGTTGTTGTTTCTTGACTTAAATCAAGAAATAGTTTTCTAAGATCTACAGAGACACTCGCTGGAACACCTCAGCAAGCGAGAGTCCAAAAGTGGCAGGCTCAAACCAAGAACCTCAGTCAATGGCTGATACCAAATGAGAGACTCCCCCCTGGGCACACAGAAAACTGGGTGACTTGGAAGGCGCTGAACAGACTGCGCTCTGGCACCATGAGATGCAGAGCCAACCTTCAGAAATGGGGTCAAAAAGTGGAATCCACGACATGCGAGTGCGGAGAAGAGCAAACCACAGACCATCTGCTGCAATGCAACCTGAGCCCTGCCACATGCACAATGGAGGACTTTTTTATAGTAACACCAGAGACGCTCCAAGTGGCCAGCTACTGGTCAAAGGACATTTAATAGAATACCAAGTCTGCAAACTTTGTGTTTTGTTTGTTTGTTAAAAAACGCAATACAACTATTTGGCTTGCTCCTGACACGATAAATAAATACCATTGCCCTCCTCTGAACATCTACAGACTTTATACCACTGACTTCTTTTGAATGCCCTCCACTGCTTTTCCAGATTGTCCACCATCATCCTCCATTGGACATCATCCAGACTTCTTACCATTGTCCTCCTTTCAATACCCCCATTGACTTCTTTTGAGACCCTCAGCCATTGCCATCTTTTGAATGCTCTCTTTCACCTTGGCAAACCGTTTCCTTTCTTTAATATGCACCACTGCCTTTCCAGACCTTTTACCCTTGCCCTCTTTTGAATGCAATCCATTGCCTTTCCAAGCCTTTTACAATTTTACTATGAAATGTATTGTCGAAGGCTTTCATGACCGGAATCACTGGGTTGTTATAGGTTTTTTCGGGCTATATGGCCGTGTTCTAGAGGCATTCTCTCCTGACGTTTCGCCTGCATCTATGGCAAGCATCCTCAGAGGATGTTTGCCATAGATGCAGGCAAAATGTCAGGAGAGAATGCCTCTAGAACATGGCCATATAGCCCAAAAAAACCTTATTATGAACTGTCGAGGGCTCCTGTACTTTTAATGGTTGTTTAGAAGAGAGAATTGCATCAGGTGTTACTTGTTGTATTGGCAAGCAATGCGTAATGAAATTGACTCCATTAAAGAAGAAAGCACAAAAGCCGGGTTGCAGCTAGACATAAAAAAACCCCAAGATTATGGCAACAAGAATGATTGACAACTGGAAAATAGAGGGAGAAAATGTGGAGGCCGTGACAGACTTTGTACTTCTAGGTGCAAAGATTACTGCAGATGCAGACTGTGGCCAGGAAATCAGAAGACGCTTACTTCTTGGGAGGAGAGCAATGTCCAATCTCGATAAAATAGTGAAGAGTAGAGACATCACACTGGCAACAAAGATCCGCCTAGTCAAAGCCATGGTATTCCCTGTAGTCACCTACGGATGTGAGAGCTGGACCTTAGGGAAGGCTGAGCGAAGGAAGAGAGATGCTTTTGAGCTGTGGGGCTGGAGGAAAGTTCTGAGAGTGCCTTGGACTGCGAGAAGATCCAACCAGTCCATCCTCCAGGAAATAAAGCCCGACTGCTCACTGGAGGGAAGGAGACTAGAGACAAAGTGGAAGTCCTTTGGCCACATCATGAGGAGACAGGAAAGCCTAGAGAAGACAATGATGCTGGGGAAAGTGGAAGGCAAAAGGAAGAGGGGCCAACCAAGGGTAAGATGGATGGATGGCATCCTTGAAGTGACTGGACTAACCTTGAAGGAGCTGGGGGTGGTG